GGGATGGGTGTGTCAGAGGCAATGCGATTGGCACAGGATAGAGCAGGGTTTAGGGCTGTTGTACATAGGGTCGCTATGAGTCACAAACGACTCGACGGCACATTAACAACAACAAACAACATGTCCTTCAGAACGATGGTTAACCTAAAATCCCACAGAACTATCATTTCGGTTTCTCTTCTAACCCTATGCCCTCTCGGATAAAGATCACTTTGAAACGACTTCATTAGTCAGAATGGCAAGCCTCCTTCTACTTGCAAGCGAAAAAAACTGACGGGCAAGTGAAAAACCAAAGGGCGAAACATGCCTTTGCAGCTGTCTCATATAAAATCCCGCAGGCTTTTCTCGCGTGCCCAGGCTGCAGATCGCTCAGCCACACCCCAGGCGGAAAGTGCGGCGGCGTCTCTCTTACGTCATACATAAGCGCCGGAAGTTGGACCGACCGATCCACGAGCGTATTGCTGCTTTGAAACGTAGAGAGGCAAGAAATATTCCTTCATAGGTAGGAAAATGAAGGGTTAGATTTTGGGGAAGGATATTTAGGTGGAAGCTGGGAAAATACTAAAGACTAAAAAGGTCGAGGTAGGGTTAGACTTGAGAGAGGTCGACGCTGTCAGTCCTTTGCCTGGTTTATTTCAGCCTGTTTAGATTGCTTTTGGGATGTTACTTCATTTCTTTTATCTTTAGTTACCATGTTCGTCTGTTAAAAGTATATAATTTTTTGGTCTTGTTCTGCTGAATTTTGGAAAGCTAGATCTTGTGCCCGAGTTAAATGACGACGCGAACTTTAAAGAACTTTGCGCAAACTTTCTAACCCTCGGCTTCTTTCTATGTAAAATAACAGTGATAGTTCATAGGATTATTGTGCAGATTAAAATTATGTCATTTGTATGCAGTGTTTACAGTTGTCTCACATTTAGGGTAATGCTCAAGTTTTTCCCCCCACGATTTAATGTTAAGGGAGAAAAATACAGACAAGAAGTTGGAACTTCTTTAGCGTTCCTTGAGGAAATTGGTGTCCGAGTTGATTTGCGAGCCGCTCTTTTTGAGATACTTACATTGATTCTGTTACTTATTTTAAGGACTAACAATGGACGCCCAGAAGGACGTGCAACCCCCAAAACAGCAACCAATGATATACATCTGTGGAGGTAAGAGTACCAATTAAAAAAGAAGAAAAAGAGTACCAACTACATAAAATATTTTACTTTTTTGAAAGTTCTTTAATAAATAAATCCATAAATACGTAAATGGATCTGTAAGGTTATAAAGTCATACACTTGTAACCATATAGAAATCTTATTAAAATTTCATTTTCTCCACTTCAAGGGAAACAAAAAAAGTCTTTTTCTACCCCATATCATATATTTGGTCATATCAAAATACTCTTGAAATTTAGTGCATTTTAGTGCTTTGAATTAAAAATGTGGTTAAAATGACTTGGTAGTCTATAGTGTTTTCTTTTTAGACTTAAGAGTAACTATGTTTTCTTCTCCAGAGTGTCACACAGAAAATGAAATAAAATCCAGGGATCCAATCAGATGCCGCGAATGTGGATATAGAATAATGTACAAGAAAAGGACTAAAAGATGTATCCTTTAATCTGTGCTTTCTAAGTATGAAATAAGAGGAAATGAGAATAATGTTTGGTTTGATAGTCAGAGACTACTTTCTGATAAATAAGGCAGTGACTTCTGGAAGGATACTGGAAATAAATTTATATATTTAAACTAGTCGTGTTAGAACCTACCTATAACTGACCTCTTAGGGGGCAGTAAATCACACATGAGTAGCCCATCTTTATCCCTGGAGCTGCTGGTGGACTTGAACCACAGGCCTTCAGTATTACAGTGCAGATTCTTGTCACTAGACCATTTAGAAGTAGTTGATATCCTGAGTACTACTTGTATTTACTATCTAACGGAAAAAGTACAGGTTACAAATTAATTCAAAGACTGAGGGTAGATTGCCAAGTAATAGTGAAAATCATTACATTATCGTTTTTTACATTGCCTTAATTTTTTTATACTATTAGCCTTTTGTTTCATGAAATAAAGATTAATTAAAATGAACTTTTCAAAGTTCCTTGCCTTAAAGAATTGGATAGTTAATTCTTTTGTGCATTCCAAATGAAATATGCAACTAACATTTATTACAAAGAGAAAGTGACTTGAAAGTATTAAATGTACAATTTTCAATACTTTTTATCCTTAACTCATTTTAATATAGTGGTGGTTTTTGATGCTCGGTGAAATGTGGATTCAAAGGACTGTCATCACTTGTATTTGGATTTGCCCCTAATGTTTCACACTGTATAGCTTTTGGATACCAAATTTCCATTATGAATCCAACTATATATGTATGATTTAATTGTATTTGTTTTTATGAAGCATGATGTATTTAGTTGTTTGTTAATGCTTTGTGTAAATAAATTCTTGTCCAGTTGAAAGTCTTAAAAGTTTAATTTTATCATACAATTAATTCTGACAATACAGATTAAACTGCTTCCATAAACAAACACTTTTGAGTCAAAACCTAGAATTAATTAGAGTCATATAAACAATGTAGATTTCTGTAATTTTGTGAAGGTCTGCTGAGGTATATTCCTTGGAAACTACTGGCAGGCATGTCACCAACTTTTTATGAAACTAGAGTATCATTTTGTACAAAGTATACCAATGTACTTGCTGTTAGGGTGCATACATCATCCTGGGAATTTTTTTATTCATTTACATGTGCCTTTTGTAGCTTTGCAGGGTACTTGACTTTTTAACATCTTGGAAAGAAGGAGGTGAACTTTTAATGGTTAGTCTCTAACAAAACCCCAAGCTGATGAAGAAGACATAGTATAGTTTTCTAGATAGAATCATTCAGGTAAAAAATTCTGCTTTCTGGATACCAAAAAGAATGGGAGATTTGCTTACTGAATTATTGGATAAATATTAAAATCTTTTGCCATGATGTTAAGTATATGGTCTCATTCCCTAAAGAGAGGCTTTAATTATGGAAGAGTAGAGTGTCAATGAAAGGAAGATTCCCATAGAAATGGATTGATAGTGATTGAGTCACAGCAGAACTTGTGAAGATGGCTTAGGTTTCTTCAGTGCTTCCTTCTGTTGTAAATAGGTCTGCTATGAGTGGGAACTCAACTTGGCAACACCAAGTATGTGCCAGGCACTGTGCTAGGTACTTTGTTGTTGTTGTTATGTGCCATCGAGTCTTTTGTGACTCATAGTGACCCTATGTACAAGAGCCCTAAACACTGTTCTATCCTGTGCCAACCTAACTATATCAAATGCACTCATTCCCACCAATCCAGTCACAGAATCGATCCATCTCATCGAAGGTCTTCCTCTCCTGCGCCGCCCCTCTACTCTACCACGTATGATGTCCCTCTCCAAGGACCAGCCCCTCTTTGCAACATGCCCAAAACATTTCAGACGAAGCTTCAGAATCCTTGACTCCAAGGAGCATTCCGGCTTCACCTTCTCCAGGACAAACCTGTTTGTTCTCCTAGCAGTCCATGGTATATTCAACA